CTACATACCACTAGCTTATACACACTTACATACCACTAGCTTAAACCCACCTACATACCATCCCCCAATACCTACCTCGCATAACTTCGCCGCCCCGTGTGTCGATGCGGATGTTGGAACCACATGCGTCCATCACATCAATGCTCTCGTTCTTGCGCAACTCCCATGAGCGCGCTTTGAACTCGTATGGCCGAGAGGTTAGGGCGCCCACGGGACACAGATCAATGACATTGCCGGACATCTCGGTCTTAAGACACTTCTCTACGTATGTGCCTGTGTGTATAAGCGCGTGTGACGGGAAACAGAAGGTGAGAGTGTGTGCAAAGGAGGGGGAGACAGCGAGTGTATGTGGAGGTGTGTATAAACGCGCGAATATGTGTACGATAGCGTGTCCAGATGTGTGTGTGTGTGTATTTATGTGTGTTGTGTGACAGAGTGGGAGATGTATGCAGAAGACGCCAGATGAAGGCTACGTTAAAAAGTGCGATGAGAGAAGAAATACAGACATACGTCAGCTATCTCCAGGCAACAACATCACACACACCTATAAAGATATACAAGCATACACCCACCTATTGGCATGCCAGTACTACATAGTAGTAACAAACTTGCTATCTATCACACACACATGTACATATACCACCATACACACCTATTGGCATGTCACTACTACATAGCAGTAACAAACTTGCATTCTAACACACACGTGTACATATACCACCACGAACACCTATAAGCATGCCAGTACTACATAGTAATAGCAAACTTGCATGCTATCACACACACATGTACATATACCACCATATACACCTATAAGCATGCCAGTACTACATAGCAATTGCAAACTTGCATTCTATCACACACACATGTACATATACCACCATACACACCTATAAGCATGCCAGTACTACATAGCAATTGCAAACTTGCATTCTAACACACACACATGCACATATACCACCATACACTGCTATTGGCATGTCACCACTACATAGCAGTAACAAACTTGCATTCTAACCCACACGTGTACATATACCACCACGAACACCAATAATCATGCCAGTACTACATAGCAATTGCAAACTTGCATTCTATCACACACATGTACATATACCACCATACACACATAACTCCTATAAGCATGCCAGCACTACATAGCAATAGCAAACTTGCATTCTATCACACATACATGCACATATGCCACCATACACACCTATTTGCATGTCATTGCCGCGGCCAGTTGATCCGAGACTATCAATGCCCGCCACATCATTTGCAAACCGAATGCACCGAGTACACTGGATACAACGGGTCATCTCAGTCTTGACTAGAGGTCCCATGTTCTTGTCCTGGATTGGACACAAAAGTTATTTATATACATATATACATCGACTTTTAGATTATAATTATAATCATCAAATTAAAAAACGGGAAAATATCGGAGACAGTGACAGTAGCAAAAGGACCAATGTTCTTATCCAGGATTATATATAAAAGACATGAGAACGCAATATATTGATTCTAATTTTAGATCAGGTTTCGAGTGGGAATTATTAATTGACCAGAGAACCAGATTCTTATCCTGGATTATACATGGGAAGACATATAACGCGATTTTTAAATCCTATTTATAGATCAGATCCCGAGTGCGAATTATTTATGAACCAATGGCAAGTTCTAAACCTGAATCTTGTACGAAGACCAACAACCGACCTAATTATATTTATAGATCGCATTTTGAATAGGAAATGGTATCGCACATATTGACAAGAAGACCTATGTTCTTATCCTCGATCTACACAGACAACATATTCAGCGACTTAAGAATTATATATATAGATCAAAGCTTGAGTGGGAATTGAAATCGCAGGCATGGGCCAGATGCCGCGACTTTTCGATTCTCTTCATAAATCAGATTGCGAGCTAGATAGACACACATAGCTGGATAGACACACACTAGATAGACACACATAGTTGGATAGATACACACTAGATAGACACACACTGCTGGATAGATACACACTAGATAGACACACACTGCTGGATAGATACACACTAGATAGACACACACTGCTGGATAGATACACACTAGATAGACACACATAGCTAGATAGATACACACTAGATAGACACACATAGCTAGATAGATACACACTAGATAGACACACATTGCTAGATCGATACACACAACTCACCTCCACAGCCCGCTTTCCTGAGCGGTGCATGTCCGTGAAACGAGAGCGGTCCCCTCCAAACACCATGCTCTGATCCTGCAGATCACACTCGCCTCCTTGATCGCAGATGGGACAGTCTAGAGGGTGGTTCACCAGGAGGAACTCCATCACACCTTCACGTGCCTGATAGTGCGAAGAGAAGGGTAGATAGTATGATACAAGAAAGATGAGATAAACTAAGGGGTTTTACAGGTATACAGCCACAAGGAGAACCTCTATCATACTTTCACATGCCCGATAGTGCCAGATAACATATACAATTATTTATATATATATATATATAAATATACAACAGCTTAATCACCATAAAACGAAGTGCTGTAAATTAATCATGTGACTAAAAATCCACCAGTCCATCGTCCATTCGCACACCAGAGAGCGAACAAAAGTGAACACAGCACGGTTTGAAGATCACTTAAACCCTACCTGGATGAATAGTTATATATATATATATATTATACTTCCATCGCTTATTATACGGTGTCAAGCATGCAGGCAGATACAGGCTACAGAACGGAACAGCTACCTATTCGCACATACACCGTCACATGCGTGACATTCATCGGAACCCAATACAAGTGTGTACATACGCAATACAGATTCACTGTACCCCGTCAGAAAGTGTTACAACACCCACGAAGTCTATACCTTCTTTGTCACAGGCGTGTCTGTCTTGATGCTCATGTTCGGCATAACAGGCCAAGCGCACGAGGCCACGGGTTTAGGGACCTTTTCGACCTCAACGAGACACATACGACAGTTACCCGCGACTGCCAATCTACAGGTATTACAATTGAATAGATCAACAGATATGGTGGGTGAGAGAAGAAGAAAGAAGACTTGGGGAATACTGAATAAAGATGGCGGATGCACATTGATATTTATATAGGAGAAGAATGTCAGTGTAACATTTACAGACACGACAATCACAACAGAGTAGGCTACCATGCAGACACGAAAAGCTGTCCCTTTTATGACAATAATAACCTATGCGAGTACGAGACACTACCAGAGCTTTTGGTCTACGAATGGATCGATAGGTCGCACGCCTAAACAGGATTGGTTCTCTTCACACAGTAGGTAATACGGGCTATTTGACGATATGGCAATTGATGCCATGGTAATTTTATGATGCACGGCAAATGAGAATATATATATAAAACCACACAGACACAGACAAACAGACACAGGCACACACACACACATATATATATAGATATATATATATTATAAATGTAAATGAATACTAATTTAAATATATGTATACGTATATTCGTGCAATGTATATGCATATATACGCATAGGTATAGATATACATATATAGATATAGGTGTAGATATCTAGATATCCTGAAATATATATATATATATATATAATATATCGAGACGTACACAAATAAATCGATATATCCATAGATTTAAATAGAGCTCCATATGCATATATATATACAGATATTTACATATGTACACACACATATATATATATATATATATATATACGTATATATATATATATATATTAATAATATGTATACTATAT